CCCCCCCCCAGCGTGGGGGCCGGGGGTGGAGGAATGTGGGGAAGGAATCTGGCGGCCGAGGGACCGGACCTTGGGCCTACACAGCTGCCTGGCACCGGGCCGGCCTGGCTTGGCAAGAGTGAAGGAAGTAGGCCGGGGGATGGGATTATGACTGAAAACATGGAAAAAATGGTGGGGGGGGAGGAGGGTGGGGGTCCCCACCCCCTTAAAATGTCCCCTCTGTGTCCCTCAGAGGTTCTGGTGGACGTGCTGCAGACGCTGGGCATGCAGGATGGTCGGGATGGCATCTCCATCACTGCCGGGATCTGCCCCCAACGTCCGGGTACCCAAGACCCCGATTTCGCTTTCCGTGTGGACAATCGTACCCAACTCAGCGCGCCCACCCGCCAGCTCTTCCCCAGTAAGGTCCCCAAATCCATAGTGGGGTGCAAACACCACCCTTTGGGGTGCAAACACCACCCTTTGGGGTGCAGAGCCACCCCTCGGGGGGGGAACTTAACGTGATGGCTTCCCCCTTTTCCCTCCTCGCTGCAGATGGCTCCTTCCCCGTGGATTTCTCCATCCTGGCCACGGTGCGTGCCCGCCGTGGGGGACAAGCCTTCCTCCTCTCCATCTACGACGAGCGAGGGGTCCAACAGCTGGGGGTGGAGATTGGACTCTCGCCCGTCTTCCTCTACGAGGATGAGGAGGGGCGACCGCCCCCCGAGCGCTACCCCGTCTTCCGTAGGGTCAACCTGGCCGATGGCAAGTGAGTGTTTCGGGGTCTCTCTGACAAAGGGGGGGTCTCTCTGGTCCCCTCTCGCCGTGACCGAGTCTCCTCTTCCTCAGGTGGCACCGCGTGGCGTTGGCTGTGGAGGGCACCAACGTGTCTTTGCTGGTGGATTGTCACCTCCTTGCCACGCTGCCGCTGGAGCGGGGACCCCAACCCCTCGTTAGCACCCAGGGGGTGACCATTTTCGGGGCCCGCCTCCTGGACGAGGAGGTGTTCGAGGTGGGTGCCTCCTGTGGGCACTGGGTGGGTTTTGGGGGGGGCTGAGTGGGCACAGAGTGGGTTT